GTTTCCACCTCCCAAGTGCTGGGATTACAGGCATGTGCCACCATATCCAGTTTCATAGTGGTGTGGATTGAACCCAGGGCTTCGTGCATGCTAGACAAATATTCTACCAAGTGAGCTATAGCTACATAATTGGAAGCCCCAAGCTACAGCTTTTGAGTAACCGTGAGTGTCTAATAAAGATATGCTTAAGCTTTAGCTGTTTAGAGACAGCTGCACATTTGTGTTTGCTATGGCACTATTCACAGCAGCCAAGATAGGGAATCAGCCTAGGTTTCCATCCACAGGTGAATGGTTAAAGAGAACGCACCACACATATACAAGAAGAATGCAATGATGTCATTTTCAGGAAAATGGATGGAACTGGAAATTATTGTGTCAAGTGAAATGGTCAGACCTAGAAAGACAAAACCCATGTTTTCTCTTATCATGCAGACTCTAGATTTTATCCACTCATACACACACACACACACACACACACACACACACACACACATACACACACATACACACAACATGAAAGTAGATGGGAGGCTATTTCGGGGGGGACTAGGGGGCCAGAGGGTAATGGGGGATGAAAATGAACAAGGATCACGACACACATGTATGAAAATAATAAAACTCATTATTTTGTATGCTAATTAAAAATAATTTTAAAAGACTTGGGCTGTTAAAAGTTTGGACATTAAAACTGTAACACCGCTTAGTTTTTTTTTAACACACTCGACAGATAAAGGTGACCGAAAAGTGTTTTATGTCCCTGGAATATGAAATAAAAAATAGAAGTGCATATTATCTTACCCTCTGTTTTCACTAAATATCCATGTCTTCAACACCCCAAAAGATGGCTTCATTTGTTTGCCCAGAGTTCAAAGATGCCATTTGTAGTGGGGATGCAGCTTCTAATTATACATTGTTATAAAACATTCTGAGCTATTTTAAACTTCACTAAAAGGGTAAAAGAGGCTGTGAGCTCTATCTGAGGCTGGATCTCATGAGGCTCTCAAAGGCTCTTTTATAGATCATTTGGAAAGATTAAAAGAAACTCACCCTGCCCAGGAGTACCCTTGCTAGCCAGTCAAAGGTCCATTAAACATGAAAGAGACCCTCCAGCTACGAATTCCCATCTCGACACAAGGTGTATGGCTGGCTATTTAACGTTTAACTTGTCTGCATCATCTCATTTCATCTGTGAATGCTTCTAGGAACCATATATAAAGAGAGAAATGACAGTCCCATTATTCCTCTGCAAACAGGTGACAGTTAAAATCATATCTTCCCTCTCCAAATTTTAGGCATAAATAAATAACAGAGGGGCTAGAGAGATCGCTCATCAGTTAAGAGCACCGGCTGCTCTTACAGAGGACCCACATGGTGGCTAACAACTGTCCCTAACTCCAGTTCCAGGAGATCCAACACACTCTTCTGACCTCCTTGGGCATTGCACAACACAGGTACACTTACATACATGCAAACAATATACTCATACACATAAAATAATATTAGAAATAACTAAGATGCTGGGGAAAGGAGCAGAGGTTGACAGGCATCTAGAGATTAAGGGTGTGGATAGAAATACAAAGAATGAACAGTAGTAGGGACAAGAAAACCAGCATATTGTCATCAAGGACAATGACATGCATACACGATCATTTCTGAATCCCTAACTGGCAAGGGAAAGAGAAAAACCATCTACATATTTTGAATTAGCTTAATACAATGTCTCTACATACTGGAAGAAAGGTATTTTCTCTGCACACATCACCAGCATCGGGGAGCCTGACCACCCATCTCAAGTTAGAAGGCTCTCTTCTCAGAAATTAGCTACATGGATATTTAGACCCATGTTAAACAAGTCAAATCATTGTGTATATGAATGTCTCCTAAATCTGTGTCTGTATCAATAACCTTTCACAAAATGATACTGCTCACCAAACCTGAAGATGAAACCGAAACGTGAGTTGTAGAGACTCTGTTCATATGGCATAAAAATAAAAGGAACCACTTCCAGAAAAATTCATTAAATAGAGAATGCTACTGATTGATATTAAGTCACTGACGTTCAATAAATCGGAGCACATAAAAGCAGAACCTGGGCTCAGAAAGCTGAAGTTCTTTACCATCCCTTCCTGTGTAGAAAGGCTCGCCAACTTTTCAAGCAAACAGGGTTAACACATCAATCAATACACAAGAAAGGCAGGAACAGTTGGGCAGCTTCAAACTTTCATAGGAAAGAAATACTCTTTATCTGGTTTTCTCCATTCATATTTTATTTCTTCTCAGCTAAGTTTTCCCAACCAGTCTCAAAAAAGAAAACAAAACCAAGAGTCATCATGGAATAACGCTGACTAACTCAAGGCTTCTCTTACTAAGATGAGGTTGATTAGGTGGAAGTTTCTAATACGAAAAAAAAAAAAAAAACCAGCATATATCAAAGACAACTTTAATAGCGGTCAGTTTCCGGAGAGGTTGTAAAAGTTTTCAACGGTTTTCCTCTCAAGTACAAATGACATCACTGCTGAAAGTTAAAAGAAATTGGCCTACTTTAGTCTTCATTTGGTACCACATATTGTTTTGGTTGCGCATCAATTGACTTTCTATTTTTACTGGAAGTGATGTCATGGCTATTTTTAGAAAACAGTGTCTGGCTCTGTCATTTGTGGAGCTCAACACATGATCGTGCTTTCGAATTTCTTTTCTTTTTCAAAAGCTATAAGAACGTAAGTATTTGGCGGAGAATGTGCTCATCAGCAAGTATACCAGCATATTTTGAAACACAGTTTAAATTAAAAGTCTAAAACAGAAATTGGTGTGGTAGCACTCACTTGTAATCCCAGCACTTGAAGCAGAGGCATCCTTTCAGCCCAGGCCTTTAAGGCCAGTCTGGGTTACATAAAGAGGTCTTGTCTTGGGACTGGAAAGATGGCTCAGTGGTTGAGAGCACCAGCTGCTCTTGCAGCAGACTCAGGTTTGATTCCCAGCACCCACATGGTGGCTAACAACTGTCCATAACTCCAGTTCCAGGAAAATCCAATCTTCTGACACCTCTGGCACTGCACGACATGGGTGCACTTACACTCATGCAGGCAAAACATTCACAGTGATTAACACAGAGACCCACAGCTGGACCACCTGCAGAGAGTAAGAGACTGTGGAGTGCTCAGCCCTGAATAGGACACTTATATCACCCCCTCTCCTTGCAAGGCTCAGGGGTCATTGTGGAAGAGGGGGCAGAAAGATTCTAAGAACCAGAGGAGGCAGATGAATACAAGGAAATCATATTGTCTGGTCTCAACAGGGCAGTTGCACATACGAAACCACAGCAATGTAAGCTCAAATCAGACAAAAATCCAGCATGGATGGGGACGAGGGCAAGAAGCTCCAGTACTAGCTGAGGCACTATTGACAACTGATGACCGTTGGGAGAGGGACAGTCAGTTTTCGTTAAGGGTCTGACACCTGGTAGGTTGAACAGACTCCAAGGGATGGACCCCCACACAAAAGTGTTTGGGGAATACAAATTAGACTCAATATGCCTTTAAAACAAAAGTAATAAAGCAGGCGTGGTGGTGCACGCCTTTAATCCCAGCACTTGGGAGGCAGAGGTAGGTGCATCTTTGTGAGTTCCGGGCCAGCCTGGTCTACACATGGAGTTCCAGGACAGCTGGGGCTACAGGGAGACCCTGTCTCAAAAAGATCAAAAAACAAAAGTAATAGAGAGCATGAAGTTGAGGTGGGGTGTAGTGGGGTGGAGATGGGGGTGTCTGAATATGATCAAAATACATTCCAGGACTTCTCAAACAATCGATAAAAACATTTTAAGAAATTAAAATAAGTCTGAAACAGGCTAAAGGTATTAACAAATGGAGGTATTTGATGTTATTGGCAGCAAAATGAGTAGCTTTGTAATATATAGATTTACTCTGGAATTTTGAGAATGAATTAAGATCTGAGCTCTACTTAGTCATTCTTTATCCTTGAAAAGATATCTATCAATCACAGCCAAATAAGTAACTCAGTTTCCATAGGATATGATTTGGCATATAAGCCAAGCTCAATTCCTACGGAATGATTTTCGTTTGTTTTTGTTTTTCAAGACAAGGTCTACCTGTAGCCCCAGCTGGCCTGGACTCACTATGTAGGCCAGGCTGGCCTCCTTCTCATAGAGATCCGTCTGCCTCTGCCTCCTAGAGTATTGGGATTAAAGGTATGCGACTTCCCATGTAATAATTTACAAGAGCAAGTTATAATTATAATGATTTATCCAAATAATTCACGATTGTAATAATTATGCCAAGAACTTATAATTATGATAATTTATGCAAACCACGTACAATTGTTTACTATAAACGTGAACAGAAAAGAAAAAGAAACCAAGCCCAGGGTTTTTTGTCTCCCTTTCACTCCCTTCCCCCAAACACCAAGTAACCAAGGGCCCAGAACAGAACAGTGACTTTATGTTTGTTCAGAGTCATCTGGGGATTATTGCCAGTTCCCCCTCACAGGTCCTAGCCCAGAAGAATGAAATCACAGCCTTGGGGGGCGGGGGCAGAACCAGGTAGCAGTAGTTTTGGAAAGTTCTAGGCATTCATACAGAACTGTAACAACAGCAAACGAGTTCAGCTACACTTGAAACCTATTTACCAAGAAGCCTGATAGTCTGCCGGGTGCACACCTGCTCCACCAGCTGCAAGGCACCCTGAGATTGCTGGTGTGGGATGTATTAACACAACATACTGGTATAATATATGCACAGTCAGTATCATCACCATTGCCCCTGACAGAGTTGATTTGCTATGCAAATGTTAAGCACTCTGTTGACCCACCTAGCACAGTACTAGGTTTGGTTTAAGTTAGAGTTTGAATTATTATACACTTCCTTCATTTAGGAGATCACACCCACCACCACCACCACCACCACCACCACGCGCTTTTCTTTTCTCTTTATTTTGCAAACTTACTTCCCCTGCATGACAAACTTAAAAAAGGAAAGTTTGCCTTACCTCCACGATGCTTTTTAGGTCTTGCACGTAAGTCCTTTCAGTCTCCAGGATTTCCTGCACAACTCTATCCACATAGAGAAGCTTGGGGCTGGTGGCTGAGTCTGCAGTGGTTTTGGGCGCCCCATTTGTGTCCACTCTCCATGGCATCCTGGACTGCCTTGCACTGTCCCCATCCATGTTCTGTGGCCCAGGACGGTTGTCCCTCTGTAGCTCGCTGCTGGAAAACGGCTGCGCTGGAATCAGCTCCAGCTTTATGGCCCCTGCTTCCTTATCCTGGTGAAATAAGCCCAAGTGGCTATTTGAAACCAATGTCATTCTGCTGCCAAAGGAGCCATGGCTGTCACGGGAGGAGGCTGAGGATGAAGTGGAGCCGAAGCTGACCGGTCGGTCACTGTCCGAGAGCTCCATAGTCTTAGGTTCTGGGGACTGGGAAGGGTCGGTTCTGGTCTCGGGTTCGGGAACTTCGATTACAGCTGATGGTAATTCAAGTTGCAACCGGTGGTGCCCATCTGCTTGCCGAAAGACAAAATTCAGGAGAAGTGGGGTTAGTGAGCATTCTACCAATCGGAAGGTGGAAAGAGGGGTGTAAAAACAACAGGCAGCTGGTGCTGGAGAAGGAAAAGCCGACTGAGATGCGTCCTCTAGACCAGCTAGAAATGCAGTCTCAGGCTCTGCCCCAAACCTCCTGACCCTGAATTGCAGCTGAACAGATTCCAGGGTGAGCCTGTGCACCCTAGGAAGCGGGCCATCCCGTGATGTCTCTAAGCGCAGCACCAGCACCCATGCACATATGCCGCTTCATCCAGACTGATTGAATTAAAGGTTCAGAGGTCAGGGCCTGAGGAACCTAGAACTTTAATAAGCACCACAAGTAGTCCTTAAGTACTGTGAAAGGACCCCGCATAATTATCACTGAACCTTTTTGTTTATTTGTGTTTGTTTTATTTTGCTTTTGAGACAGGGTCTCCCTAGCCCCAGATGTCTCAGAACTTGCTATGTAGACCAGGATGGCCTCAGTCTCACAGAGATCCATCTGCCATTACCTCCTGAGTGCTGAAATTAAAGGTGGATGCCACCACGCTGAAGTTTTTTTTTACGGAATCTTGAGAAAGACTGTTGTAGATTTTGTTTTCCACCATAATTTTGTCCTTTTTTTTTTTTTTTTTTTTTTTTTTGTTTTTTTTTCAAAGACGCTTCCCCGTTGTCTCCTGGTCTTTTCGCAATTGCTAAGTTAAAGCAGGTACCTATTTGTCCCTCAGCAGCCGCCTGCCTCTGCCTCCCAAGTGCTGGGACTACAGGCGAATTCTGATGTACGTTTTACCTGCACACAGCATTGAAGGAAGAATTGGGTGGGTGATGATTTTCTCACAGCGGACCCCCAAATCAAACTAAAATAGCTAGATTCACACCCTATTTACACTGATCCCTTCTTAGCATTCTCTAAAGCTCTTCTTAAAAACTGACATGCCAAGGCTGGCAAGATGGCTCAGTGGGTAAAGACACTTGTCACCAAGTCTGACTACCTGAGTTTGATCTCAGGAGCCTACATGGTAGAAGGAGTCAACTCCAAAAGTTGTCCTGCATATCCACATTACGCCTTCAGAGTATGCATTTGGCATCTTAGTTCACCTTTCCTCGTGAACACACACATGCATAAATGAACACACATGCATAAATGAACACACACGCATAAATGAGCACACACATGCATAAATGAGCACACACATGCATAAATGAATACATAAATAAGTACATAAATAAATGCAGTGAGGAAATTGACATGCCAGAGACAACCAGACAAGCCATTTGTGGTATGTAATGGAGGGTCACTATCCACAGCTATATTGGATATCTACATCCACAGCAGTTCACACACAACATCATAAAATGACACTGTGATCTTGTAATAAAATACATAGGAATTAAATAATGAGGAAAAATTAGGCAGGACTGAATTGTTAATATTTACGAGAGCCCAAGGTAAGACTAGCTATCAAGTCTAAAGGTCACTTACTATACACGGTATTTAAAAAATAATCATGGGCCCAAAAAGGCCCTACATGAAATTAAATACTCCAAGATATTTTGGTGAAACATTCAAGAATCCAAACTTCTTGAGTTGTAAAGTCAAGAATCGTATCTGTTCCCCAACACCTGCCAATAATGAGATTCAGGTTGAAAGAAGCAATATGCCTTATGATAAAGAATGTGATTAATGATGAAATTTGCTTCATTTTAGCAGGTTACCTTACTGCCAAAATCCATATTTACAGGCTTTGTTAGAAAAATATGTGAGAGAAATTTATGTTAGAAAAGTTATATGTGATACATATAATAACAAGAATGTAAATTAATGGTCTTTTTTCAATAGAAGTGTGTTCTGACTTTATAAGGAAGATAAAGTGGTACCAATATTTTTAGAATATAAATCCTTCAGATCAGTGTCTTTTTCCTAGATTGCACTCATAGCAGTTATGAACACAAATTTACAAAGCAAATATTCAAATTGCGACTATAACATAAGACCCTCAGTTTGAGCGACAGGAAGAAACAGTGAGAAACACAAAGGATGTGTGCAAAATCAGCAGGAGCACCAACACATGGTGTGCAAAATCAGCAGGAGCACTGTCACATGGTGTGAGTTTGCTGAACATTTTTAAAGCTTCTGAAATATTCTTTCTGTTTGCTCTTTAACAACTTTATAGCTTATAAAACATGGATAGGAGTAGTTAAAATGCACTTGACCTAAAAAGTTTGATTCAACTTGAGTGTGGCCAAGATCCAAGAAGCATCCAGACACACTTTCAGCAGACTGCACTTGGCAATGTTCAGAACCCGTGTTAAGAAAACCCCAACCATGTGGGAGAGGGAGATGGGTAGGTGAGTATAAGTTCTTGCTGTGCAGGTATGATGCTCTTAGTTTGAATCCCTGAACCCACAAAAAGCTGTGCACAGTAGCGTGTATCTGTAATTCCAGTGCTCCTATCGCGAGATGAAGGTGGAGATGAGAATCCCAGGAACTTGCAGATCAGTTGGCCTGGTATGTGCAGCACACCAACAAAACAACAAAACAGCAGTGTGAGTGAGCAAGGTTCCAGGGGAGTCTTCTAGGGCTCCTGTACCAGGCCATGTACTTGAAGCCGCTGGGGACAGCCTATTCTGCAATTGCAAATTAGGCACCTTAGAAAATAGAATAGTGCAGGTTTTTGGTATCTGTAGTATTCCCCCAAGCTTACTGCTCCAAACTAAATACTTTCCTAAATCACCAAAGACAGAAGTAAGACATTTAAAGTCAGGTCATTTGAGAACACAAGACAACATTTGTTAATGACTAACATTTTTCTTTCTTTTTTTTTCTCACTTTTTTATTGAGCTTTTAAAATTTCATACATTTCCCACTCAAATCCAGACCCCCTCCCCGATCTATGCCTCCCCCATTCCCCCACTGAACCCTTTGCACTCTGCCATATATGCTGAGTCCTATTCATTCAGGTGTTTGTACCCAAATGTCCTTCAGTGTAAATGCGTCCACTGGAGTCTAGTCAGTAATAGCTAACATTTTTCATGTTGACTCATTGCTTAGAAGGTAATTATAGTTTTATCATATAAGGAAGTGGGCCTCATAAAAGCTGTGTTGTCTTGCTCTTGCCTCCTGAAAAATAATTTAAGATTTCTATCCAATCTGGCCTCTTCTTTCTAAAACCATTTTCCAATTACTAATACTTATCTATAGAATTGTGCTGCTTAACAGAATAACTGGCTACATAAACACTGGAGATGGGGCAGTCCAAAACTGAGATGCCTTGTGAGTATAAAATACACACTGGACTTCAATGACAATGAGACAAAAATTATAAAAGGCCTCATTAATAATTTTATATTGATTATATATTAAAATAATATCTTAGAATAGTGAGGTAAAGAAAATACCTTATTAAAGTTATTTTCACCATTTAAAATTTTTATTTATTTTTATTTTACATGTATGAATGTTATACCTGCATGTATGTAAGTACACCCGTGTCGTGCAGTGCCAATGGAAGCCAGAAGAGGAGGTTGGATCCCCTGGAACTGGAGTTACAGATGGTTGTTAGCTGTCACGTGGGTGCTGGGATTTAATGAGTCCTCTGCAAGAGCACTCAGTGCTCTTAACTGTCAAACAATCTCTCTATCCCCTCATATGTATTTGTATTAGACAATGATAATGTTGAGATCTTCTCGATAATTACATTAACTTTTAAGATTTAAGGGCTGGAGAGATGGCTCAGAAATTAAGAGTATGTACTGCTCTTGCGGAAGACCTAAGTTAGGTTCCCAGCACCCACCACCAGGTGGCTCACAACCACCTATAACTCCACTCCAGGGGATCTGACACCCTCTTCTGGCTTCTGTGGGCACTCACAACCATGTGTGCATACTGACACACAAATACACATGCACACATATAATTAGTAATAATAAATATTTAAATCTGCCTGCTTAGTCATCATTGTTCAAATGATAGTGACTAGAGTGATGTGTAAAACTATCTTTTTTTTTGCTACATTCATATAAAATATTGTCATGAGTTAGTAGGGACAGAGAGGTAACTGCTGTGAGGTAGATAGTGGAGTTAACTGATTTTCCATCGGAAACTGGACCCAGAGAGGATTGTGTAACCAGAAAGCATTTTCTCCTGCTTTGAGTGAAAGATTAACGTTTGTGTAGCACACGCCTTTTCTAGAACTTCATTCTCTTTCTCAGGTAAAGAACTGACGACATTGGATAATTTTGGAAGACTTTTTGCCACCCATGGCTCATGGTCCATCACAGGTAGATCTTTTGACCATTACTACTATGAAAGTAGCTGGTTCTACCCACCTGGAGGTCAGGGACTATCTCATCCCTGGTGAGCCTAGAGGTAGTGGGGGAAGAAGTGCTGGACAGGGCCTTGGAGGCTCACTGATTACTACAGTTGGCCAGCCACCCTCCTGTTGGTGCCATTCTCAATGAAAAGACAGACTTTCACACATTTTACCTCATAGTAAGTCTTCCAAGGTGAAATAACTCGAATACCTTGGCTTCTCTTTACTCATCCTTCAAACTCCCATTGTTTTCTCTCTTTGGGAATCGCACCTCCAGAATCAACCTCCAGTGCTTCTTGCCTAACTTTTCTGACCAACTTTGAAAAATGACTTTCTGTGGCTTTGTCTCACCCAGTTGACATGTACAATGGGGGACTTGAGGATTCCCCTGTCTTCAAATACCAAAGAAAATGTTATAAGGCAAAGTTGAAACTCTTTTCACAAATGATTGTCACTGTTCCAGAGTCCTGTGGACAAGCCTCAGGACTTCCAATTTCTGCTCGTTACTATCCTAGACACTGAGTGTGCCTCCAAGTTCCTTGGCAGAACCACCATGCTGTACTCAATAGCACTACAAGAGCAAGTCTTATTTCCCGGAGCTGCCATGCTGGGACAGCCAAGTGGTGAGATGCATGGAGAAGCCGAGGGATGCTCAGAGGACCCTG